TTTCGAGCCAAAAACTAAAAAGATTCAACTACCCAAAAAATTGAGAAAAATCGTAACTCAGTTCATAAAAATCCTACAAAAATTCTAACTCGCTCACGTAAACACTGTCTACATAAGACGTATATGTACGCCGTTGCCGTATTTTTTTCTCGGTTAGAAACCAAAAAACGAAGATTTTTATGTTTCTACCAAAGTGATCCTGTGCAGTTCCCACATGAGTAGTTGTATACTACAAACCTGTAGAAGTACAAACGTAGATTTTCAGCTCTCTACAAGCCTTCGTTCTTGAGAAATATCGAATACAGTTTTCCTAGTCATGTAGTTCAAGCTAAAATTCAAATTTCTCGAGAACTAAAGCTTGTAGAGAGCTGGAAATTTACGTTTGTACTTTTACAGGTTTGTAGTATACAACTACTCATGTGGGAACGGCACAGGATCACTTTGGCAAAAACATGAAAATCCTCGTTTTTTTGGTTTCTAACCGAAAAAAAAATAAACGGCAACGGCGTACATATACGTCTTATGTGGACAGTGTTTATGTGAGCGAGTTAGAATTTTTATAGGATTTTGATGAACTGAGTTACGATTTTTCTCAATTTTTTGGGTAGTTAAATCTTTTTAGTTTTTGGCTCGAAACTCGTGGTGGATTGGAGCTGTTGCTAAATCATGACTGCCATCTGGTAGAGCTTGCTTTGCTCTATCGAACGGTACCTTGCAACCTACTTAGAAATGAGAAATGTATGACTTATCGCGGTTGGAATTCAAAACCTGCATTAATTTCCGGACAACCTAATACATTGATTTACAAAGATATAAAAACATGAAAACTAACTCTCTTAAAATTTATTTTCTCATACATTTGAAAAATAGTTTGCTTCTATATCAGTACGTTGGATTCAGAACTCCTTAATCCTCTTGAGCACTTCTGCTCTAATCTATTCCATAAATTGCTTTGTTTCTTGTTGCAGCTCGGTGGGCTCTGCTCCCCTTCCGAGGTTCGTCTGTTCTACGCTCTAGTTCCCAACCCCAAAGGACTTCCACAGATACGGGTGAGCTCAAAGTTCGTACCGGCGCGTCATGCCCTCAAATACACAAACATAAATACATACAAGTTTACTAAAATAACACACACAATGAAAACCAAATATAGAAAAGAACTTAAACCCCGGGTTACCGATGGACCACCAGCTCACTCAAACTCTCTCCCCTAGCACACTCTCACACACTCCCGACTTGCAAAAGAGCTGACCCACATGTCGGCCGCGCGTGTCACCAAGGCAGCAGCGACGGCGCGGCTGACACCTACCCCGTGATGTAAACAACAACTTCGAACCAAGCTCCTTACAGGTCTTGCGCGTCCACGCGCTTCCGAATGTTTATCGTCCGGAAGTTACATCCTTGCGCGTTCATACCATTTCGTCATTAATACACATACTCGCGCAGGGCATGGGGCGTAGGCACAACGCCGATGTCGTAAAATCCCAACCGATCGATAATACAAGCAACACGAGCGATGATAGTATTGAGAAAAAAGAGAGCCGCAATGGCGCGCTATTTATAGCCGTGGCTCGGAACATGCTACGGTCTGGAAGCGAACAGGGTAGCCGACCTAAAGCGTTGCGACCTCACGACCGAACTACGCGTCAACACGGTGCTCCCGGCCACATGTTACAAGGAGATGTCTATTGTCTGTCGATTGCGAGCCGCAGTTCTTCTTTGATTTCTTTTTATCGGACTTCTGTTGTTCTTGTGCTCTACTGATCTCTTTACCGCTACATGTATATAAACGAAATCTTTTCTTTCTGTTACTAATCACTCTTCCCTACCAAAGAGCCTCGGGAGTGATTTCAAAATTACAGGTTACTCTGTATAGGGGTGAAGGCGAAACAGGCTTATGGTAAAAAAAGATTTATTGATAGTCGAGTGGATGGTTGGCAGATTGCTTATGAATGACCAAAAGGAGTGAAACTATAAGGTAATCCAAAAGGTAATGAGGCACCTTGATTTACAACTCTGAGGGTTTTATTCTTGATTAAGGATCAGCCACCATTAGAATGGCAAATGGGCCCCTGTGAAACAAATACGCCTTTGCCACCTTCATTTCACTATTTGCCTCCTTAATAAACCAACTGCGCAGCCTATTCGATTGAAGCACGTTTTCTTCCTCTAAAGATTCAACTCGTTTGCTATTTCGCACTCTAACAAAGAGGAGAGGAAAAGTTTTGAAACCAAAACGTTACTACATAGTAAAAGTTATATAGGACGTAGACATAGGCACGTTGTAGATCCCTGCAAAAGCATTACTTCAGCTTCCAAAAAGGTATTCCATCGTGCAACACTTTTGCTGCAACCTTTTATTCAAAGCTTTTTCTCTTAGGCATAACTTGAATCAAATATTGACTTATCTGTCTTTTGACAAAATCAGCGCGAGTCAGCAGAAACTCTTTGATAGAAGAACACCTTTATAGACCTTCGAAGGGGCTGGGAAAAATACCTAATTGAATCATAGGTTGGTCCGGCCCATTACAACACCAAGAGCTTCCTCCATAAGTATTAGTCTAAACCTAAATCGGAGGTAGGCAGCATTAAACCAGAGTTTTGAAACTAGCCAACCTTAACCACACTCTACCAGTAAGTCCACAATGGGACAATAGCGGACGTCACTGAATGTCATCCACTGAGTTAAGGGTTATTTATGCGCGGCTGTTCAGATTACATAGCGGCATGAACGGCAAAAGAACACTGTTGAGACATGCATTCATTTTTAGCGTTCATACCAGGATTCCTCGTAAGTATCCATGCTGCCTCAAGGATCTTTTGCACGTTCCAATACCTATATCCATGAACAAAGCAACAATAAGATTCCCTTTGCATACCTTCCTTATAAGATGGGATTAGCGTAGCAATCAGACGTTCACCGGGCTGAACTACAAAATGATGTGATATTGGTTGAGGTACCGAAGGATAACATCAGAAGCAGCTAGTTCGGAACAGCGCTACGATTACGAATGCTAATAGATCAATGCACAGTATGCCCTTACGGCAATGTGGGGGACTGTGCAAAAGCAGGTGTAATATACCAGTTGGAATGTTTGAGCTGCAAGACTGTTACATAAGAAAGACGGGTAGAACATTAGGTGTAAAGTTGAAGGAGCACTTGGCTAGCAAAAGACGTGGGATATTAACAGTACCGTTAGGAAGGCACAAAGCTGAGGCACATGATGAAAATGACTTTAAAGTCAAATGTGCCATTCTGTCTTACGAGACTGATATTTGCGCAGAAAGATATTTGAGGCAGCATGGATACTTACGAGAAATCCTGGAATGGATGCTAAAAATGAATGCGTGTCAATCAACAGTGATCTTCATACCGCTATACAATCTGAACAACCGCACATAAATATCCCTTAACTCACTGGGTGACACTCAGTGACGTCCTCTATTGTCCCATTGTGCGGACTTACTAGTATGAGGTTGAGTTAAGTTGGCACGTCTCGTAACATTGATGGTTTCGCCTTGGCAGCCTCCGATAAAGCCTGGACTAGCATTTGTGAAGGAGGCTCTCGGCGGCGTACTGGTCAGATCCAAAAAAACCTATAATCTACGTTCAGACCCCTTGAAAAGACGAGCACGTCGAAATGTCGGTCGATAAACATCACCAAGAAACCTGGTTTCGGCACAACAACCACTTTTGACACATATCAAAATGCACAGGTTCAAAGATAAGAGTTTTTGATCTACAATTTAAATAAAATTCCAAGTTTTAGCAAGATGAAGAATGTTTTTCTCAACTATGAAAATGAGTCAAGTTTACCGTTCTAATGCTCGTAGCTCGAAACGTCTGTAATTCCATTTGCTTAATGCATTTATAAAATGACTACCTGGCAACCCAGCTCAGGCTAGGCCTTGCGAATAATATCATAGTGTTTAGTAATTAGCATGTTCACTTACCCCTCTGTTCCAACTGTCAGCCTTGTATTTGCAAAAATCTCAAAATCAATATGGATCGATCAAGAAAAGTAGCCTACGACACCGCCCTGCCCCGAAGTGTTTGTATGCAAAGTTTGCTCCGGATCATTATGTACACACACAGGCAAGCAAGCAGACAGACGAACAGACAGGCAAAACAAACAGACATTCAACTTTATATATACAGATCAACTTGTGAAAAGAATCTTTTAATTCGGCTGTTCCAAAAATGTACAAATTCTCCTTTGGAACAAATTTGGCTGCACTAAATCGCTTTCTTGGCTTTAACGCACCTCTCTTCTAAATTCTGCGTTTGCCCTTATACCTCAGTATAAACCAGGGGTAGTCTGTATATCAGTACTATATTATCTTAATCACCTTTATGGTTTCGATATCTTAGGGAATGTTTGGGGAATACGCAAAGATTTTAGCGATTTACCCTCAGAGATTTTGAAGTTGTTCTCACCAAACTTCTTCAAAAACTCTAAGCGACAGATTCCATATTAGCCAAAAATATGAGAATTGTTTTGCACAACTTCGAAAGACTAATTTTTGAGTTGCACTCTTCTGGTGTTTCGAACTAAACAGGCAACAATCCTGTCCAAAAAAATTCATTAGCACTGACATTCTTTACTATGACTGTATGTCACTTGTAATGCGCTATAGTTCTAGCATAACGGAGGAAAAGTGCAAACCGTTTTATTGCTGACTAAAAGCGTAAACATGTATTGAAATGAGATGACATTACGATTTCAAATGTTGTTGCACTTTTATGTTCTCAGCATTTCGGCTACGGCACAGTGAGTCATTAGTGTGAAATAAATAAGCCCCTCATGAATGAATCCTGTCGAACATTGTGCCTCCTTCCAATTATTCCTCATCTTTGAGCTACTCTTTTGAGCACAAATATATTTTGCTCCGCAAATCCGGCAAACGCAACAAGTCATTGTTCTTGTTCGGTGATGTATCTTTTGAAAAACGATCTGGACGTGAGTCATAGGACGTAAACATTGAACGCTTTGCTTTTTTCCAGATAAATGCTTAGCTATACCATCGTCAGTTGCCCTGAATAGATCAGTAAAAGCGCAATCGAACATTCACATCTCGATATAAATTCAGGAGGAAGCTGTGGGCATTCAGACACCATGAACAGCTTCACCTTATTCCTTCCTTTATTATTGTCCTTATTTATACATTCCGAATGTGGATGTTATGAAAACTGGAGCCGCTGCACACCACAAACAGCGGTATGTAATCGTGGTCTTTATTCTTCACATCGGCGGACTTTCCATTCAATTTCATAGCACTGAAAATGCAAAATCTGGAATAAGGCATAAAAGCATATTTTCTAGTTTGCAACGGGGATCCTGTGGAAATCATGTGCTGATTACTGCAGAAAATGTAAGGGTAGATTAAGCGGGCATTGTGTCAAAGTTTACAACAAGGAGTGCAGCGGTGGATATCAGTGCCAGTAAGTTTTTCTACAACTAAAAATTCAAAACTCTTCATTATCGTTTCCTGTCAGATGCATTGGAGGATCACGTGCTAAATCAAAAAATCCACTCGATATAGCTACCTGCGCTTTCGGACTATGACCTCAAACTATGGCTACTTTGTAATGACGGTAAAAGCTGTGATTTCTTTGTGATTACTTCGTAAAATAATTTGTCAATTTCATTTCTATCTTCCTCTTACTCATCGCAAGTACTCTACATCGCACGATAGCTTTACCAATAAATTTTGCACATATCTAGTGTAAAGGCCGTTTTGTTTCAAACAGACATACTTTTTGTTCAATGGGATTGTTTCAATGGCTACTGTTCAATTCCGGTTTTCCTAGTGATGAACGTTGTTGGAATATAAGCCACAAATACGTTAAATCCCTTATGAATAACATTATGTTTCAATTCGTGACCTACCGAACATAGAATGTTATCTCATCAAGTAGGGATTGAGCAATAAAATTTATGTAAGGCGCCTATGCCGTCATCTCAGGTTTCCCATTTTTGCTCATTTTGAACATGAGCTTGGTATGTTACAAAGATTTATTGTGCGTGACGATGATTCTTTGTTGAACTCGCCCTGTCAGTCAAATATACGAGTGTCCCAGAAAACTGTGAACACTGTTTGATCGTTAATAATTCCGTTGCTTTCATGTCTTTTGCCGAGCATGAGGCACCACTCGGTAGAGTGGGGTTCAACTTAGATTCGTAAAAAGCGAATCGCCAATCACTGTTCGTTACTATAGGATCACGGTATGAATTCTAGCATGTGGATCTATTGTGAAATGCGCCATTTGACAAAATTTTCTCTCAAAAAATCTGAAAAATCGTCTACCAGGGTTTCCGTGCATGCTGATTCCACCTAACAACTTTTTACGAGAGTTTTCAGCTTTTCTGACGTAGGTTTGGCTTTAAGCTTGTTTGGTTCTGTTCCGAGGAGCATATGGCATCAAATGGCCTGAAATCCTTGTCGAAGTTCTTACCGTAATCCTACAGTAATGAAGGGCGATCGACGACTCGCTCCATACTGTAGATCTAAGTTAAACATCGCTCTATAAAGTGGTGCCCCAAGCTCGGCGAAAAACATGAAAGCAAGGGAGTCATTAACAATCAAACAGTGTTCACATTTTTTTTTGGGACATCCTGTATTAACCATTTATCAAGCTCTGACCAAGTCCAGTCGCCTTAAATCTGAAAAATTCATAATGCTCCATTGAACATGTTTCTTATACTAATTTTTACCGGAAGAAATAACCATCTACTTTCTAATAACGTCCTCGCAACCCTTTGACGACGGGAATACAGAGATAAAAAACTGAAGAAACACTCTCGAGCTTTCGGTACTCTTAAATGAGCTATGAAAAATCTGGAACGCTGCAGAAGAATGTTAGAGCATGTTTATTACAATTTACCAGTGGCGGACCGAGGGGAAAGGGCGAGGGGGGGGGGGCGCCCCCCTTCCCGAGAATGGGTGGCGAATTTTTAAAATCACTTTTATGAGCTATAAAAATGTGACTAAAAAGTGACTTGTTAATTTTTGTAAACAATTGAAATGTTTTTTAAAAAGTTTTAAAAATTTAAATTAACCTTGTACAAATTTTTTTTCGGGAGCGTCGTTAACGCCACGCTCTCTTTTTCTAGATTTTAGGGGCTGGGAACCCGAAAAAATTTTAAGAAGCAGCCCAAAAAATTTCTCGGAGTGCGTGGCTAAAGCGGCGCATCATTAGTGAAAAAAAAATTTTGCCTTCCCCCCCCCCCCTTCCCCCCTGGCGGAAATCCTGGGACCGCCACTGCAATTTACGTAAGCTGCACGTTCTAACATTGCAAACTTGGGTTGCTCGAGCTTTTCTTAGCAAGGTTATGATTTTTGGAAAAAATGTAAGAAAGGCAAAAACAATTTTTTTTGCATTTTTCTGTATTTTCTTTAGAAATCATAATTCCGTTGAGAAGTTCGATCAACAGAACCTTCAAGTGTTAGAAAGCGCAGCTTACGTAGTTTGTGATAGACATGCCTCCAGATTTTTTACAGCTTCTGATTTTTAATAATACTTTAGAACATGTAGAGCCCTACTACTTATTTTTATTTCTAAAGTCCATTGACGTCAAAGAGCAGCGAAGATGTTTTGTAGAGGATGTAATTTCTTTCTGGTGAACAAATTGTAAGGAAATACGTGCACATAGGAAGCAAACTTTTCGTTTTGAAGTGACACATTTAGTCCAACCTAATAGATTAACAGACCTGTTTGTTGGAATAATTGATAACATCAAATTGATCATTTCATGCCGAATATACTCAAAAAATTGCACAAAGTGGAAGGCAATGAAAGAATAGATTCCACATCACACTTGAGCAAACACGCCTACGTGAAATTATCGCGGGAGACTTTTCTTTTTGAAAAGTCGTATTTATATTGTATGTCACTCAGCTCGAAGTAGAGTAAATCCGCATTCTCATACCCAAATTTCCTGCTATTTCTAACTGGATCAAGTGGTGTAGTTTCTGGATAATACTCTTATTTTCACATAATGTTATGTTAACGACGGGGTGCAGGGGAGCAGGAGAATGGGACGAGAAATGGTGAGTGAAAGGGAGAGTAAGGTGCCTTTGACAAGCTCAAATTTGAGCATATCTTTTGTCCAGCTGTGTTAGCGAAAAAGAGAACGGTTTTTTGAGCTTTTCTTGTGAATAAATGACATTATTTCAGATTTTTCATCGTAATTCAGGCCAGTTCCCAAAAAGTTGGCTGCATCTTTTCGCCTTTCTAATTCAGGGCTACAAGCCATCTGGTATTGACAAGCACTAAGAGTTCTAAATCAATAATTATGTTTCTGCATCCCACTTTCAGCGCCAACAGTGGGCACTATAGTCACCTCGCAGATGTTCCAAAAAAAAACTCAGCCGGTACTAAACAGGCCCTCAAGTTCTAGGAAGTAGCTTTGTGCCTTATTTACAACTGTCATACCTTTCGTTGCAAATTATAAAAGATTGAACCTGATTTCTGTTCATGCTTGTACTTGTACTACATTTGAGACGAAAAGCGCAGGAATAATTTCTTAAAGAGTAACATAATTCAAAGCTTCTTGAAATAGTCTTACAATAGTAACATGATTTTTTCTTGGACCAAAAGAAACAGCAAAGGAGGGTGCTGTTTACGAAACAACGTGAGCAGTGCCAATTTTCATTGCGTTGAACACTGATTACTAGTATCTTACCGAAAGTTGAAAGGAGTTAGTCAAAAGAGTAAACATAACCATTGCACGGTGAATCCTTACATCAGGACTCAGCATGAGGTTTTTGGTTTTTTTTTAACGAAGTCTCCGTTGACTTCGCAGCAAAAATTCGACCCCCATGACCCGTTTATGAATGAATCACACAAGATTAACATAGAAAAATATAGCAGAATGCAAATCAACTTAAAACAGACTATAAAAATTTGGGTCCCGTATTCTCCAGGACGGCGGTCTGCTGTGCCCGACGCGCACGATCGCGCGCTTAGAGCAGGATTGCTGCCGCACTGCAGAATGTCTGGAGGGCTATAACCAGGCGAGGAGGAAGGGTTTGAGGTTTGAAAACTAGTTTGTAGTGTTTTGGAAGTAGATGAAAGGAAGAGGGGAAATTTAATGACTTTTCTCTGGCCTTCTCAGGTAGCTCTCCAAATGGCTTAAAAGTCAGCTAATTCAAAAAAAGTTTACCACACCCTCAGTTCCCATAATTTTTCCAAAATGTTTCATACACAGTATAAAGTTTCGTCTACTTACTCTTCGCTGTAAACAAGCCCTTTGTTTAGTTCGGGGCACATTTTGAACCGCACTTGCACGGACAGTGTACTGGAGCGGGAATGGCTGGTTTTACAGAAAATGGGTTCTTAGGGCACTGAGGAGCACTTTTGACGTTGACGTTGACCTACTACTCAAAGTTTCTTACTTGGCTAATTCTGAAATCACTCTTATGTTGCCTGGCGTGATCAAAAGGTCCTTTAAAAAATATTTCGCCTGGCTTCGATTTCGCCGAAGCGGTTGGCGACTTTTTTCATGCACATTTTCTAGTGACCCCGCCTTGGACCCCGTATAAACGATATCCCCATTGCTTCTACCCCCCCCCCCCTCCCAAACGATATTTAATGTTTTGTAACACCCGTCCTGAGCCTCGCCCTACATACGTGAGCATGACAGAAAACATCGTCATCTAAGGCCCGGACAGACTTCACGCGATTTGATCGTCGCGATTGAATCGCGATGAGACAACTGTTACAACATCATTCCATGCCGATCAACTTGCATTTCGGTTGTGATACTTTTCCAGCCCGAAATTTTTGATTGTGAAATGAAAATGAATGGAAATGTCGGCTGAGTCGCGACGATCGAATCGCGTGAAGTCTGTCCGGGGCCTAAAGTTCAACATTAAGTCAAATAAATGATGAGCAACGTTTAAAAACTGCAACTCTTCTAAAAAAAAATAGGAAATATGTCAAATGCCGTCTTTGAATCTTGAAAACGTCCTAAATAGCCACAATCCTTTAATTTAATGAGGCAGGCAGCCGAAGAATTCCAGATGGAAATGGGAGACAGTTTTTTTTCTTGATAAAGGTGATTATTGGGCTGCTAAGAAAATAATGTCGCTTTTTTTGATTTGCTTGCGCACTGGCACTGCAACCGGAGGAACCCCGAGAATGCATGAACGGTCTGTTCGATAGAGCAAAGCAAGTTCTGCATTGGTATGGATGCTTACGTGCCATAGTTGGGCCGCGTCAAGTTAAAGACAGCGGCTTGGCAGAATGACAACTTTGAGATATTCATCGTTCTGGGTTCTCCTGGAGGATTCGTACATATCTACGTTATCAAATCAGACAATAACATATACAGTTGCTGCGATTTCCTTGCCTAGAAACGGAAAAATCAAAAATTTTCATGTTTTTCCCAAACCAATGCTGGCAGCACGTGTCAGCCTAAGAAATTCTTCACTACAAACTTTGGTGCGTTTAACTTTAGATCTTGAGCCTTTTTCGAGGGATAGTTTTCGAGACATATCGACTTTCGCTTATTTTTTAGAAGTTTTTCTCCGGATTTATATTCCTCGAAAACTATCGGAAAGGGTAAAAATTTACATTAATACTTACAAATGTTTGTAGTACAGAATTATGTGTCAGAAGGCACAGCTGTGATTTGAATAAAACCCGAAAATTTTTGATTTCTCAGTTTTCAGTTTGAAAAATAGTTTTAAAAAAATACAGCAACTGCATTTGTAAATGTCTGATGTCGATAGTTCGTAGAAAGATAGTATAGATCAAATTTCTTTGAATTTTTGAGCATTTAGT